CGTTACCTTCCGCTCACGTTGGCATTGCTCAACCAATACAGAATACTGCACATGAATTGTAAATACTGTAATAGAGTCTTGCACACAAAATGAAACGTTTGTATCACAAACTTAAAAATAGATTTTAATCGATCAATCAATTAATCATTACATCCTTAATGTCCACAGGATCCGATATTGTGAGCCCTGTTACTCTCCGAACCCTGTTGTCTGGCTCCAAGCGGTCCAATGCCTTTACCTGAGACTGCCGAGAATGGCAAGGATTTCTTTTCAGGCACAAAGCAAAGCGTTCGCTCATTCGCATGCGCAACACACAAGCGTGTGCAGGGGCGACGAGCTAGGACACACGCTTGATGGATGTCAGGTGAAGGCCTGCGATATCGCTTCAGGGTCATCCCCCCACCCGACGTGACAAGTGGCCTTGCTATCTATAGAAGGATCCAGAAAGGGGGAAAAAATGATTTTGCCCTGTGCCGTTAGCACAATTGCTCTACGGGGTCTGCGTGTGAAAATCTGGCTTGGATGGTGCTGCGGTTTAGAACACTCGGTTTGCATTTAGGAGGTTGCGAGTTCAAATCCCAGACGGTGGTGGTTTGACTGGATCAATAAAATGGGCAGCGCCTTGAGTAAAAGTCAAACACAGTGGTCACATGCTACGGAGTGACTGGCCCCCGCCATGAGAACGTGTAAAATTACAAACAGTGGCTCAGGGCGCGCAGCCGCTGTCGTTTCGCGCCGCCGTGTTTGCTTGTCGGGGAGGACCCCTTGACTTGCCCGATGCGAGAACGTGAAAAACCGCAGAATACATTATATTGTTAAACACAGGGGGAACAATGCTGAAAACAGTGCCGTGGGCTCCTCGCCCCGAACCGCGATTACCCAGCACGCGCTCTGCACATTACATATTTTTATTTGTTGCCAAAAATGGATTTTGGCGCACTGTGACCTGTGCACACAACATTGTAAGGATGTACTTACAATGTTCACCATCACCGTGTACAGGTTACCGCACAGAGTGTGCCAAAGTCTGTGATCGGAGCCAAAGAGAAGCCTTTCTTAAAACTCTCTTGTGCAGCAAAACACTTCACATCGCGCTACGGAACTGCCCCGGGAAGCGACATGGCAATGCATTCTCTCGATTCAGTCTGTTGCCCAACACTCCAGGGTGCTGCTTCCGCCTACGTAAAGAGCTGGATGCCGCGTGCCAGTCATCCGAATCAGAATATTTTTTTACGCTGGAGGAATCCGATAAGCTATAAAGCTGTGAAAAAATAAGAGCTACAAAGCTTTTTTACCACATAGCCAAAGCCACAGATGTATTCTTAATCAGTAGGTTGCAGAGCCAATACACCAAGTAGCATGCAAACCCAACTCACACCATCTTTTTCTGCAGTGCAAAAGCATTTCCACAACACTTGGCACCCTAGTGAAAGCACGGGTGACTGAGACCTGAATTTGAATGAAACTCAAGTCACCCACAACACGACGACCATTATGAACCCCCCTGCACCACCAAGACACCCCCCGACGACCTCTGCCGAGACTCTGGACTCACAGTGGCCTACTCTTTTCTGAATGACGCGAAACCGTCGACAATGGCCACCTCCAATTAGCACGGTTGGCTACGTAAGGTTCGAAAGAAGTTCAACATACATACTTTCACCACAGGTCAGAAGTGCATTGGTGATTTTGGCCAGTGGGAACAAGTGGATGGCCGGATTTGAACATTTCGGTTCAACATTTGGCCATGTGGAAATTGCCTCGGCGCCGAGCAAGCCCCATCACGAAGGCAGCCAGCAGCCTTTAACAACCTTGCAGTTTCGACTCCACGTTTGGCAATACGAGTATGATGGGGTCCATCGTGGTCCTTAGAAAAAAAAAGCAACACGGCAGTTAGTTATTCTACAGGTCGGTGTCTTGCCTAACGCGAGTGGGCAGCTGCTTCTTCTTCTGTGCAAGAGCGATTTGCCACGTGCGACTCATTAGCACGGCTGGCTACGTACGGCGCGAACGAAGTTCCACGAACAACATGTACCCGAGATATATACGGCACCAGGGTTTGCTTCACATCGGTGGGTCTCGGGAGGTCTCGAATCCACTGACTCAATAGCGGCTTATCACTGTCCTCAACTATTGTATTTGTAGACTGCAAATGCGTACGATAGAGAGGTCAATATGGTTGCTTTTTTATGAGAATGAGAAAAAAATTGTCTCTGCATTCGATAGAGAATATCCATAATAGGTTTTTTGGGTTAGATCGCGTAAATATATAAGTGTCGTTAAACCCGCCACCACCCGACACAGCCAACTAGTAAGGTTTTTCATGTGAACAGAACATGCCAATTCGTCACTAGTACGGCACACTAGTGTGTTGGAGAGCCAAGCCACAACATTTACAATCTCAGTATGAGAATATCGTTCAATAAAATAACACAACGTGCGATACAAAACGCCTACAGAATATTAAGATGAACAGGAAGGGTCTGTAAAACAGAGAGCATTATACGCAGAGCTTCTGCTCATGGTGGACACTGCCCAAGGTGTGTTCCGGTAGCAGTTGCCACCCACATGTTTGTACCGACCGACCTCCTTGGGTCAAAAGCTATTTCACCAGCAAAGTTAAATGTCAAAGTGCCTCCCTCCTCGAACGAACAGTGGGACGCCGATACAATTCTCTTGGCGGCCCTGAGACGGTGGTGGTTAAGGCCAAATTCCCACGTTGAGGCGCAGTCTTCCCACCGCACAACCACAACTTGGTCATTATTTTAGAGGTCCCAGAGATAGGATGATGATGATGGGTTGAATCAACTGCCAAAGAGGTTTTGAACTATTATTTGGTTCTTTCGGTAAAGTCACGTATAAAGAAAAAAGAATAAATTAAATAATAACATACGACGTTTCGATTGCAACACAAGCAATCATCATCAGGTATAATGAAATAGCGACGTAAAATCTAACCAGAAAAATTTATAGACAGACATATAAGCAGACAGATATCACCAAGATACACACAGCGGGCAACACAGGTACAGAGAGGAGTGATCGTCTCTGTGGGGTGGCCTTAAATAGACAGAGGGGGGGCGGAGGCAGCGAGAGGGAGGGGTTAGAGACAACATTTACATGTCAATGAGTACAACAAAAGGAGTTCCAAGTTTACCTTTTTTCTCTCTCTCTGGGTTTTTATTCTCTCTCTCTGCCTGTTTATTTAGTGTAATTTGTTTTGTCTACACTCGTTTTTTGTCCTTCTTAGGTTCTGCTTTGTCTCCGTTCCTCTTGTTTTTATGTTTTGTCTTTCTTTGAAATTTTCACACTTAAATTCTAACTTAGCAATCTTTGAAATACGTAATCGACCAGGCTATGCGTTAATTGTGTGTTGACCGACTCTCTGTGTCGTTTTACATAACATTTCGATACTTTGCTAGGTAATTTAATTTTAGTGTGTCTCTTTCTCCCCCTAAGCCTGCTCACTCCTTTTTGTTGTACTCATTGACATGTAAATTTTGTCTCTAACCCCTCCCTCTCGCTGCCTCCGCCCCCCCTCTGTCTATTTAAGGCCACCCCACAGAGACGATCACTCCTCTCTGTACCTGTGCTGCCCGCTGTGTGTATCTTGGTGATATCTGTCTGCTTATATGTCTGTCTATAAATTTTTCTGGTTAGATTTTACGTCGCTATTTCATTATACCTGATGATGATTGCTTGTGTTGCAATCGAAACGTCGTATGTTATTATTTAATTTATTCTTTTTTCTTTATACGTGACTTTACCGAAAGAACCAAAGAATAATTCCTGCAGTCACGAAAGCTCCAAAGTTAAGGTTTTGAACTCTTATCCTTCCCACCGAGTCAAGCGCTCGAGCACAATTCTACTCAGCTGAACATTACGCGAACGCGGCAAGAATGTGTATGTATGTGTAGGCGTGTGAATGCGCGTGTCATCCTGCTGATCGATATTCTGTCAAGCGAGTTACAAGCACCGCCACAATATGAAAAGAACACCCAACAAAATTACGGCGGATCGGCGGTCAGGCTTTAACATTTCACTCCCACCACTCCGCTCCACGCGCAATAAATGCACCGTGTTGTGCACGTGCATTTGAGGTCGAGAGGACCCATTAAGAGGAGGTGACATGAGATGGCCCAGTGGCTCAGGGAGGGGGATAATGACCGTGTCAGAACATGGAATGAACAGCACCGAGTTCCCGGGTTCAAATCAGGGTAGGCGCCTGCATTTAATTCGGATTTTCAAGTGCGGAGATAATAAATGCACTTCGGGCAACCGCCGCGGGGGAAAGCCACTCATTACAGCGTACCGAGGGGCATCATCTCGTGTTGTACGAGAGAAGGCTACCGCTGTGACTGCCGGGATAGGTCTGTGGGGTCATGTGGGGCCTTTTCCACGCGTGATGCCATCCTCTGCCGACTGTTGTTCCAGAAAAAAAATACGATCATGACTCCATATTTGGCGATAACAGCCAAACAAGGTATTTGAGCTAAGTGTGAATATGAAGTGGAGTTTAAAGAGATTTTTAAAAATTAAACTATAGTACAGTATGGTTTTACACTATTTGGCTACGAACCCCTGAAGGTGGCTGCACGACTCATTTCGGCTGTTGCCAGGGACGCAAGCAGAGCCAAGGGACAGATGGACAATTCATTCGCAGCCGTGCGATGCCATTTCAGCGAATGACAGTGGGATGGACGAACAGACGGACAACACAGCCAGATCCACGTGATCTCATTTCAGCCAACGAAGGATAGGCCGTGAGACCACAGAGTCAAATCACTCGTGACCTCATTCAAGCCAACGACAAGGCACGAAAGATGGATGGACGGACAATGTGAGACCCAATGCAAGAGACCTTATTCCAGGCAAGCGACACGTATGTCGGCGCCGAGGAAGACGAACGGACAGACGGACGGACTTATCCACCGTCCACACACACCGCAGCCTTGCCAGGCACCCCGCACGCGCCGCCCAGACGCCCGGGACGCCCTCACCTGGCCCTTGATGAGGCTGGCCGCGAACTGCCTCACCACGGCCTCCACGGTGTAGGCGCTGGACCAGCCCCTGGGCGTGAGCAGCTCCATGCAGATGGCGCCGCCGTCCAGGACGTATCCGTTCTCGATGCGCGGGCTCAGCACGCGCATGAAGGGCGGCGAGAAGGGGAAGTTCTCGGGGAAGGCGAGGTTGAGGAGGACGCCGTCCACGCCCGTCTCGCGCATGTCCTGCCACAGCGCCGAGTCCCTGTCGATCTGGTAGAGCTTCACGTTCCACTCAAACAGGTTGTCGTCCACCAGCTCCACGCTCAGCACCTCCTCGCTCAGCCGGTTCAGGTCCTGCAGCTCCTTCATGAGGCGGCGGGCGCGTACCTGCGAGCTGTGCTGCCGGTTGGCCGGCGCCGGCGGCAGCGACGACGACGACGAGGACGACGGCTTCCCGAAGAGGCCCTTGTGGGGGGGCGGTGGCGGCGGCGGCGGCGGCGGCACGGCCTCCGCTTTGGCCGGCTCGGTCGAGCGGCCGCCAGCCTGGGGGAGCGAGACGGTGCCGCCGTCCCTCCCGCCGCCGTTCAAAGCGACGCAAGCCTTGCCCTTCTGCGACCCGCCGCCACCGCCACCGCTGCTGTTGTTGTTGTTACCGCCGCCGCCGCCGCTGCTACCGCCACCGCTGCTGTTGTTGTTATTGTTGCCGCCGCCGCCGCCGGTGATGCTGTTCTTGCGCGCCTTGCGGGAGCCCTTGGGGCTGCCCGTCTCCGGCTGGTGGAAGCGGATGAGGCCGATCTTTCGGAGCAGCGTCGCCATCGCTCGCTCGCGGCTCGGGACTTTGTGGCCGGCAACGTTTGCCCCGGAGCTGTCGGGGAGTAAACGGGAACGCGCTGTTGGTTTTTCCCCCCCCCCCCCCCCCCTCCGGTAATAAACGCCCGCCGGGGCGATCAATTTCAGGCGCCTGCGTGTGCTCCTGCTGATGCCGCTTGCCACATCTGCGCTTTTATTGCGGCCAACACACGAGCGTATATCTTCTCGCCGAGGCAGTGTTAGATGCTTTCAATTGTAACGATCTGTCCCCCCTCCGTTGGCCGCGTGCCCGCCCTGTCCTCAGCTCTGTCCGTGTCTCTATGGCTACTTGGCCGACTGTCGCTGTGGTCGGTCTGACCCTATCTGTCGCTAAGGTTATCCGTCTCGCTGTGTCCAGCTCATTAGGTCCATCTTGCTCTCTCCGTGTTTACGTAGCAAACCTCAAAGCGCAGTTTCTGTTGCTATGGCTGTATGGGTGTATTTCAAGCTCATTTAATGTTTGTTCATGTCTAGAGCTGTCTATGTGTCCGAGGCTGTCTTGCTATGTCGATTGGTATGGTTGTTCATCTTGTTCTGTCCCTTAGTTTGTATTTATAGCCCTGTTTAGTTGCATCTACTGTATATGTATAGCACGGTCTGTATCCCTGTCTTTCTAGCTCTGTTTCGTTCTCCGTAGCTATTTGTTCAGACCGGTTAATCTGTCCAAACGGCTATCCATCTAGCTTAGTTATGTCCTCTCCAGCTATGCGACTGTTTTATGAACTTATAAATTTCTGTTGAAGTGGCTGATATCAATCTCTGTGCTCTATGTCTCCCATGTCTGTGTACACCACTGAAGTGCTATCTACATAGTACGATTCCTACATACTGGCAGTGGTGAGGCATAGTTCGCATGGGGCGTAAAGGAATGAAATAGGGCCCCCGTAATAGAGATTTTTGGGTTAGATCGCGTAAATATATAAACGTGTGGTTAAAACCCGCCACCACCCGACACAGCCAACTAGTAAGGTTTGTCACGTAAACAGAACGTGGCCAATTCGTTACTAGTACAGCACTAGTGTAGTATACTAGTACAGCACTAACCGGTGTGTTGGAGAGCCAAGCCACAACATTTACAATCCGAGTACGACGTTTCGCCAGTAATTACAACGAGCTTCATCAGGCGACAGCCAGATTTGTGGAGAAGTCTAACCGTTTCGTTCCTTACATAGAGAGGCGTAGATGTGTCGACCACCCTTCTGCGCTCTTTGTAACCTGGCGCTGGGTACCCCTGGCTTCTGGGCCCAGTGTGCAGTCTCACCGCCTGCACACTCCACTGCTATGCCGCCTGCGTGAAGCCCACTGAGAAGTGACCCTCTTTGTGCCTCCCTTCTTAGCTACATTACCATCTCCTTGGCTATCCGCGTAGCAAAGTCTCTCAGTGACAGCCACCCTCTGTGTGTGCCTACACAAGTATGTATGTGCGACTCTGTACGGCTACGTGGTCATCTGTGAATCACCGTCTCTCAGCGACATCTGCCGCCCGTAAACGTGCATGTGTGTGCGTGCGGAGTGGTAGGGAGTGGTGGTGTAGCGGTGAGCGCGCTGCGCTACCAACCCGGCGGCCTAAGTTCGATTGCCGCTCATGGCCAACGGCAGTGACGATTATCTGAAACAATCATGGGCCTCCCTTAAGTTGACTCAACCTCAACCGAGTAGCTGGTGTGGTTAGTAAACATGACCACTGGGGAGACAAAGGCGTCCCGGTATGGTGTTGGCCACCCACCCCCACGTGTGCAGTGCTGGCCTTCATAGGTGCTCGCAAACAGCACTTGTGTGGAGTGGTAGCAGCGCTGTGAAACCGACCCACCAAGTTTGATTCCCAGCCATGGTTAACATCGGTGGGGAGTGATATCTGAACTGGTCATGGGCCTCCTGTAGGTCAACTCAGACTTAAATGTATACCTGGTGTAATGTACAAACTAAAACTATAAACTAAACTTAATTTATTTGACCAGGTAAGGCCCATTGAGCTATATCGCTATTTTTCAAAAGCGACCTGGCTAAAAATGATATCTCAACGAAGTGGCTTATCGCGTGGAAATTTATAGCAGTGGAGGGAAAACCCGGGGGACCAGGAGAAAAAGCCACACAACCACAGGGAGAACATGCACATTCCAACTATAAATGCGTCAGGGTCGGGATCGAACCCACGACCTCCTGCATGCCAGGCGAGGTGGTTAACATCTCACTACCGCGGCAAAATAAAGACGGCCGGCCAGTTACCGCTGGTGGCTACCCTACCTCTGTGTGCCGTGGCCAGTCTGAATAGATGCTCGCTAACACCTCACGTCCCTGGGGTCCACAAGACCAGACGTGAGCCACTCGGCTTGGCTCTATAGCCGCCCTGGGGGTGCGAAAGCTCTTCGCACAATGGGGGCTCTATCCACATCTTTCCCATCTCCAATTGTCTCTCGTTTAATTTCCCTCCGTCACTCTATCTATTGAATTTAATGATACAAAGATCTCTCCCACATGATCTGTCTCGAGCTCACCATCTCCCTCTACATCCTCCTTCTGTCATCCCTTATTCTCTAAGTGCCTCTCGCCTTGAAGCGTGCGTATTTCCCCTATCCGTGTGCGTCTCGCTACTTAGCGGTGCAACTCCCTCCATGCCTCTCTATGGCTACACAGGAGAACTCCTCTCATCAGCAATGACACAAGGATCTGAATTTAGAAGTTAATCAAAGTAATAATGGAAATAAAATAATAAATCACGACGTTTCGGAGGCAACACAAGTCTCCGTCATGAGGTGGGACCGTCACAGCTAAAATTACTGCATCAAGTGAATGATGTCGTGATTTATTATTTTATTTCCATTATTACTTTTATTAACTTTTAATTTAATTTCTTATCTACGTGACTTTACCGAACAAACCTAAGCGTATGAATCCTTGCAGTCACGAAAGCTTCAAATCTAGAACCTGAATTTAGACTGCGAGAACCGGGTGAGCTATGAAGCTCGTTATTTACACATGTGTCCACTAGGGGGAGGTATGGGGGACCAATAACGGGAGATATGTGGGGACCAGTACAATCCGCAGGGTTATCCGCAATTACACTCCTCTTATCCGTGGGGTAGACGACCGTGGGTAACCCCGTGGATAACAGGACGAATTTTCCTTGCAACACTCTTGTTGTGTTTGAAAAAAAATCGCGGCGCAACAGTGCGTCATTACACAACGACTTGTGGGAAGTTGTAGATATCCATTCGCACGGTTGGCTCCGTACGGTGCTAAAGAAGTTCAACATACACACATGCAATAGAATCAAATAAAGAACTTCTTTCGCACCGTATGGAGCCAACCGTTTGAAATGAGTCTGAGGATTGTACAGCTGCTATGGCTATAAGGAGCTGCGGATAAGAGGAGTTATCCTGTACTGGGACAACCACAGCAAGAAAAACTGATGACGATTGCTTGTGTTGCGATCGAAACGTCGTGATCTATTATTTTTCTACCCACGTGACTTTACCGAAAGAACCAAAGAGTATGGATTCCTGCAGTCGCGAAAGCTTGAAATCGAGATTTCTCCCGTACTGTTACAGTCATACTCCATTGCATGGCTAGATCTCAGTCTCTATTTCTCTGACCTTTTCAATATCTCGATGTTAATACGTTCACCTCTCTATTCCATTGTGCGTGTGAATTTCACATTGGCTCTGCTATTCACTTACGTCCATATCTAAGCCCTGGGGGTACAACCTCCATAAACACATAAATACAAAGACCGCCCCAACGTACAGCCTTGGCAGACTGTTGGGGCAAGTGCTGTTAGCGAGCACCTTTGAAGGCCGGCACGGCACACGAGGGGGTGGGTGGCCAGCACCACGCCCGGCCGCCTTTGTCTCCCCAGTGGCGATGTTTACACTCCGCACCAGGTACTCATTTGAGGGCGAGTCGAACTCACATGCGCACACACACGCATACCCATGCACACCCATCAGTATCAATACAAAAACACATCTATATATCCCCGTATGCTATGAAGGCCCACGAGGGGGTGGGTGGTCAGCACCACGCCCGCACACCAATGCAAGCACATACACACCGCAACATCTGTGTAAATATGCACACACACCAATATATTCAAAATGTGTAACAAGTATTGTGGTCAATGCAGACACGATTCCTTGTAAAAGGTTTCAGTTTGGTGTTTTAACATCGTAACACCAGAAAAAAAGGGGAAAACCTATTCTCATGTGTAACATCCACACAACACCAAAATACAAATAAACCATCCCCCATATACAGATAGCCATTTGTCATTCCACTGCTGGATGAAGCCCTCCACTGTGCGGGTGGAGGGGATTATTCTATGATACAGCACCGTATGCACTTCACTGCATCGCTCAGTGTGGGTTGGTCAAGGTGGTAAACATTTAACGTTGGACAAACGTCGGATCAACGTTCCATATTGATTAGGACTTTGGAGCTTGGTACAGTACAATTGATTTTGCCACACACCGCCCTCTGCTCACGACAGCAGCCTATAGCACCTGTCATTTGCACGGACACCCACACTACAAACCCACAATCCTGTGTGCACACACCCACTCACCAATACACACTACACACATGGTGTACCTACACACAGCACACATGGTGTACCTACACACAGCACACGCCCATCCACACACATACACGGATGCTGTAAACAGGACATAAAACCACTCCGACACACCACTTTGCTCCCACGCACATACTTTACAAATATTCCACCCGTACAGCCGTAACAGACTGTAGGGGCAAGTGCTGTTAGCGAGCACCTATGGGCATGGGTGGACAGCACCACGCCCGACCGCCTTTGTCTCCCCAAGTGGCGATATTTACACACCGCACCAGGTACTCATTTGAGGCCGAGTCGACCTAGGAGGGGAGGGGGGAGGTCCAGGACCGGTTCAGACAATAGTCACTGATGTTGGCCATGAGCGGGAATCGAACTCGGGTGGCCGGGTTCGTAGCGCAGTGCGCTAACCGCTACGCCACCGCTCCCCACACATCAGCACACACCAGAGTATGAGAGCTCGGGGTAAAGCATTTACACCTTTGGAACCAAATGCTTACCCCGAGCTCTCATACTCTGATGGTGAATTGTCTTTGAGTTGTGCGCCTTTTGGCGTCATCTGGTCCAACACCATGTGAGACTAGGCTCTAAAGAAAAGCTGTCTCGGGTGTGGACCAATCAATTTCAAGGACAGTGCATACATTATCAGAGTTGTTTTTTGTTTGCATACCGACTGCAGGTATTGTGGTCAATGCGAACATGATTCCTTGTAAAAAAGGTGTCCGTTTTGTTGCCAGATAAAAGGGTAAAAAACCGATTATCATATTTTGCTACTGGCAAAGGAGGTTCCAATGGAATATAATACTAAACAAGGATAGGATGGGGGGGTTGAATTGAAAATAGGTAAGTGACGAAAAATAAACAAATGTAAATAAAGGATTGTGTCGAAATACAGATTTCACAAGTGCACAAAATTCCGGCCAATTTTGCAACACTAAATGCAAACCGATATATAACGTGCACAGCAGTAGCATACTTTACACAAAACCAGAGAGCAATATCAACACATAAGCACACACACCATTAGCAAAATATACACCCATATATGCACAAAGATCCACGCTCGCAGATACAGACACACAAATACATACACAAGAGAATGTATACTGTGCACACAGAACCAATGCATAAATGGAAAAACATACACGAGCACAGAGCAATACTTAGTACACACAATATCAACACACACACAAATCTCTTGGGCCGGGCTTCATCCTGAATTGAAATTTCACAACGATGAAATACCCACCAATACAACTACACACATCCTTACCCATCGACACGACACAACTGCACACCCATACACACCCCAACACAATCGCACATCCATTCACACACCAACACAATTGCACACCCATACACACACCAACACAATTCCACCCCCATACACACAGCGACACAATAGCACATCCATACACACCCCAACACAATTGCCCACCTATTCACACACCGACACATTCATACACACACCAACATAATCGCACATCCAAACACACACCGACACATCCATACACACACCAACACAATCGCACATCCATTCACACACCAACATAATCGCACATTCATTCACACACACACCAACACAATCGCACATCCATACACACCCCAACACAATTGCCCACCTATTCACACACCGACACATCCATACACACCCCAACACAATTGCACACCCATTCACACACCAACACATTCATACACACACCAACACAATCGCACATCCATTCACACACCAAAACAATTGCCCACCTATTCACACACCGACACATCCATACACACCCACCAACACCATCACACCATCACACCCACCCACACACCCCATGCTGTGTGTGTGTGTGTGCTCACCTGCTCTCTCCCTCTCGCTTTCTCTGTGTGCGAGTCCTCCGCGCAGCCCCGCAGGTGCGGGCCACGCAGAATAACAATCAGCCCGCGGGGCTCCGGTGCCGGGCAGCAGCAGGAGGAGGGGGCAGCAGCAGCAGGAGGAGGAGGAGAGATGAGGGGGCAGCAGCAGCAGCAGGAGGAGGGATGAGGGGGCAGCAGGAGGGGGCAGCAGCAGCAGGAGGAGGAGAGATGAGGGGACAGTGAAGGGAGAGCGGCGGAGAGAGACGAGGGGTAAGAGCGGAAGGAAGATGAGCGGGACAGCGAAGAGGAGGCGAAAGATGACGGTGGTGGTGGTGGGAGTGGTGAGGAGGAGATGGGGGGGGGGGGCAGAGGGAGAGATGAAGGGGAAGAGAGGGGAGAGCGACACGAGGAGGGGATAAAGTGGAGAGGCGAGAGACGGGGATGGAGAGTGGAAGGAGGAGAGAGAAGAGTGGGGGGAGAACGCCGAGAGGGAGAGATGTGGAGAGATGGGAGAGAGTGGACTGAGAACAGTGGGGGATGTCGCTCCACGCACAGACGCAGCAGCGATGGAGACTTGCCGCACGCAGCTGATTCTCTCTCTCTACAACCACAACACACTCCACGCAGCCACCATAATCGACACAAGCTAACACGAAGATAGGCTGAGAACAATAATAACACCGGGGGAGGAGCGGTGTGGCTGGGTGGGGGGGGGGACCACAGCCTGTATAACAATGGAGCTGGCTGTCGTAACGAAGCAGCTCCTCCCCTCTATCCGCTTCTCTTGACACGGCGGCTCGAGGATGGCGTGAACCAACGAGCTAGGAGATCAGATGAGAGGCTTCCTACTGCTGCTGCCACTGAGCTAGACAGGAGGCAGAGAGGACAAGCGAGGGGCTCTCGCGACTTGCAGACGACGAAGACGGCTGCGGCTCCTGCTGCTGCATCGTCCGCGCCGCGGAGGGGCTTTAACCGCGACGTCACCGGCAGGAAGCGCGCTCAGTAATTATGTAACCCCCCCCCCCCCCCATTCGGGGGAGACGTCACCGCGCCTCGTGGTGTTCACCGGATTCTCGAGAAGAGAATTGCCCCGGGTCAACAACTGCCACCCCCCCCCAAACCCCACACCTTTCACCCCCCCATCCACTCCTTTCACCCCCCACCTACCCCTTTCACCCCCCCCAACTACCCCTTCCACTCCCCCACCTACCCCTTTCACCCCCCCCACCCCTTTTACAACTCCCACCCACACCTTTCACCCCCCCCACCTACCCCTTTCACCCCCCCACCCACCCCTTTCACCCCCCCCCACCCCTTTCACCCCCACCCCTTTCACCCCCACCCCTTTCACCCCCCCACCCCTTTCACCCCCCCCACCCACACCTTTCACCCCCCCCCACCACCCCTTTCACCCCCCTCCCCACCCCTTTCACCCCCAACCACCCCCACCCACCTATTTCACCCCCACCCACCACTTCACCTCCCTCACCCACCCCTTTTACCCACCCACCCTTTCACCCCCACCCACCTATTTCACCCACCCCATTCACCCCCCCCCACCTCTTTCACCCCTCCCCACCCCTTCCCCCACCCCTTTCACCCCCACCCACCTATGTCACCCCCACCCCTTGACCTCCCTCACCCACCTCTTTCACCGCCCACTCCATTCAGGATATTGGCACCGCAGACATGAGTCTAACTTGACTTTAGAGCTATGTGACAATGAGAACCCTGCAGGGAGGCCTTGAGGTTGGCTCAATGCTTCGGAGACACCCCTTACTACTCCAGGCTACTCGTCACAGTGATCAACTGCGCCGTACCAGCCATGGAACACGAGGCCAAACGCATGTAAACTAACCTCATTTCCGAAAGAGGTGGATAGATTGCCGGCCAGGCTGTGAAGGTCAAATAAAATTGGCAAGGTCTCCATTGTCACACTAAAGAGAGATAGCACTTCTCTTTGTCAGGGGATAAATTGGATATGAATTGGAATAATTGTGATGCATTGGTCAATTCACGGCGATTGCATATCGACGCATGCCACCGCTGAACTGCGTGTACCGGACCAGCAGTAGCTGGGGGCTCTGCTGGTGGTTCACGTCGGCCGATCGTCGTTGGTGGCCCCGAGAAAGCCGCCCCATCATCACGAGACACGGCCGTGGGCCGTCAAGACAAAAGAGCCTCCACTGAACGTGGAGTGAGCGGAAGGCAAGTAGGAGAAGCAGACGAGGGCATCCCAGCTGTGACGTGGCTTTAATACGTGAAGAGCAACGGGCTGTCGATGAGCTTCGGGGGGTTGAGAAGCTGAAAAACAGCAGTGGAGCTTATATTCTTGGTTCTTTCGGTAAAGTCACGTAGAAGGGAAATAATAAAATAATATTAGTATATTCATATTTTATATTAATATTATTTAATATTCTTGGTTCTTTCGGTAAAGTCACGTAGAAGGGAAATAATAAAATAATATTAGTATATTCATATTTTATATTAATATTATTTAATATTCTTGGTTCTTTCGGTAAAGTCACGTAGAAGGGAAATAATAAAATAATATTAGTATATTCATATTTTATATTAATATTATTTAATATTCTTGGTTCTTTCGGTAAAGTCACGTAGAAGGGAAATAATAAAATAATATTTATATAAATATATTAATAATTTATATTAATATTATTTAATATTCTTGGTTCTTTCGGTAAAGTCACGTAGAAGGGAAATAATTAAATAATATTGATATAAAATATATTAATATTTTGTATTAATATTACAAAATATATGAATATAAAGTATATTATTATTTTATAATAATATTATTTTATTATTTCCCTTCTACGTGACTTTACCGAAAGAACCAAGAATATGAATCCGTGCAGTCACGAAAGCTTTAAATCAGCAGTGGAGCTGTTTAAATAAGATCTGAAAATGTCCCGTTGCTGAAGAGCGAACGTGTAACGAGTCGTTGCTGAATAAGGTTACACTGACCATTGGTCGACTCAGCCATAAATACGTACCTGGTGCGGTGTTTAAACATCGACACTGGGGGAGACAAAGGCGGCCGGGCGTGGTGCTGGCCACCCACCGGCTGGTGTGTCGTGCTAGCCTCCATAGGTGCTCGCTAACAGCACTTGTCCCTACGGTCTGTTAAGGCTACAGAGGGATATTTGTCTTATGGTCCATTGACCTCCAAAAACTACCCCCCCCCCCACAGGGACCCCCCCTCCGCCTTCTGATAACATTGATAGGGCCCCCAGACATGGCCAATTATGTCGTGACCCCCCACACCCACAGAATGAACGATGAACGCCTCTCCCTAGATTATAATACAGTACACTACTGTTCTTAAGCCTGATTGTTGTTCGCATCATAGATGGCCAATGATGTCATCAACATCCCTGCCACCACCCCCCCACACACCGCCTTCCCGACAGAATGAACGATTAGTGTTCCCCCTGTAGGTTATAATACAGTACTGTGGTGTCCTTTACCCTGAATGTTAATTGGAAGCCTCACGAATTGTTAAGGCTCCTTTTCGGGATGTGTGTTAAATTCGATGAACGAGTGGCATCTGAGAGGATCCCACGAGAGCCTGTGGTTACGAAAGGATAACATTCAAAGCTTTGCTCAGATGGATTTAGGAATCCATTGTTGTACTCACCATTTATTGGCCAACTCACAGCCCAAGACACCTGGTACTGTATTACCAGGCATTATTCCACACTACTGCTGACCACGCTCATATTTGCTTAGTTTCTAAGATACGACGAGGTCAGACAGATTTAGGATGATGAGATTTTTTTGGGTCGGGAGTCCCTGATGGAATTACTGTATTAATGGTGGCGTCTAGATGGAAATATTTATGAGACCCTAAATGTAGCCAATGCAGAGGTCCCCAGAAAGTGCTAATGATGAGCCCTCCATATTGAGCCGCAGATGAGTGCCCAAGATATTGGCAACGATGGCGGCCCCAGATGTACAAAATGATGGATATCCCCCAAATGGAACCATTTGTGACCCTCTTCACTCTGAGATGTATCCAATAAACGGCTCCCAGAGCTGACAATAATGAGCCTCACAGATGGTAATATTGATGGGATTCTCATATAGAGCCAATCATAGTCTTTGGATAATAAAAATCCAGCATTATAATGTCGAGAACTGTGCTAATGTCCATAACATAAAATTACAAGTGATGCCAAAGTCAATCATATAGGGCTCATCTGTGTTGGACATCCACATTTCTATGACAGGTTCCAGTATATCCATAGGCAAACCACTGTTGACTTCCCATGAGGTGTTAACCCACCATACTGCACAGTGTGTAGGGTAACACGAAAAGTATCTTATTACTGAAAATGTGTTGAAATACTTCATTTAATTCCGCATTTTTAAATGTATGTAGTTTTATTTGTATCTCATTTTAAAATGTTACATTTCAATACATCGCTGTATACTAATACTGTTTTTTGTTTGTAACACTGCAGGTATCTGTTGGAAAGACCCTAAACTGCATTACCATTAGCCACAGAATTTGATTGTGAACTCGAGATGCAAATCTGGCACTGCATCTCCGAGTTGACTGTAAATTGGGCCGCCAAAATATGCTTTGAGGCGCACAGAGGCAATATATTAGATACGGTATGTCTGAATAGGCTCTCACCTGTTTTGGACCCATGCGCTTAACCTTAACTGATGCGAATTCAACCCCGATGAAGCTTAGAAAGCTGGAGTTCAAAATAACTCACAAACACCTCGTTGTGAAATGCCCAATGCAGAATATTCCTCTGTTTGATCGTCCACGCCGTTCATGGTCCACCGTATACCGCATCCGGACAAATCATGGCAGATGTGGATACCTGATGCACAAATTGAACATAAAAACTCTCCAGTGTGCGACAGAACAGACCATCCAACGTATAACGACGCAACGCCCGACCCACAAATACGAAAGGAGACATCGCAGCGATGATGATACACTCCGCTGCTCCTGACGCGGTTGTCTGGCTTGACCACCTGAATGTGAGCTTGTAATCGTTGCTCTGCATCTACATCAGCAGCCGTACGGAAGAAGATGAAGAAGTGAAAGTAAGATAGAGATGCAACTCTGCAATTGCTTTGCTCATGCCACTGATAGTGGAAGGGCCTCCACTCTAGTGAGAGCTCGAGCGAGCACCCAAGTGTAGTTGATTTTGGCGCAGGTAAAACCCATTGGGCAATGCTCATTTTCGATGTGGACCTGGTTGTAGCAACAAAAACAACAAAAAACATTAATCACAATCCCTCTGTACGCTTTCATTTGTTCGAACCGTTCTTGAAAGTTGGGTCGGAATCAAAACGATTAAATGAAGCACGCGGGACGAATCGCAGTTTAGAGTACATTAGGAAAACTTAATCGAGTCGTGAAAAGTAATACAAATAAATACGCCTCGAGGGGACATTACTGAATTGCACGTGGTGACGAACCCCCCATGGGGAGTCTGCGCTACGATTGGTTAAAACCGAGCGTCACGTGGCGCTTCGGAGCAGCCAATCGGACGCCTTCCGTGAGCACGGGCCTCAGCCTCGCCTGGCCTGGCCGCCCTGCTAACGTTTCCGCTCGACAATCAATAGCCCGTCAATTCATAAACATGGCAGAGAAATTCGACAACCTGGAGGAGCACCTGGAGAAGTTCATCGAGAACATTCGGCAGCTGGGAATCATCGTGAGCGATTTCCAACCGAGCGGACAAGTTGTGTTGAACCAAAAGCTGTGAGTTGTTTTTTCCCCCGCGCGGCCTAGTCTTCACCCCTCACCTGAGCCTGATTCCTGCCGCTTTATATTCTTACATCGCGGTACCTTATCCAGGCCAGACCGGCGAGCCCGGGGCATGCTCCGTGAACCATTCTTAAAGCCATTCATTCGAAATGTATATATTTATACGCTATGAATAGGCTACGTTACATTTACAGACGTGTGGATTAAGACACGCGACTAATATACGTCGTTTTCGTGTGTGTACGACTGTTCGATCAACTGCTGCATGGCAGCCGGCTACGCCGTGGAAGTGATGGCTTTCCTTACACATTCTAGATTTGAAGCTTTCGTGACTGCAAGGATTCAAACTCGGTAAAGTCACGTAGGTAAAATAATAATATTAAAAATAATAATACAAATAATAGAAATAATAATAGAGATAAAATAATAAATCACGACGTTTCGGAGGCAACACAAGTCTCCGTCATCATGTGGGACTGTCACAGCTGAATTGACTGTATCAAGTGAGGATTTAGCTGTAAAATGTAGCTGTGACGGAGACTTGTGTTGCCTCCGAAACGTGATTTATTCTTTTAGTTCTAATATTATGTATATTAATTTTACCTACGTGACTTTACCGAAAAAACCTAAGAGTATGTTTCCTTCACCATGCTTAACCATGCTCGTCAGTGCGTGCTGTTGAAGGCGAGGAGCACAGAATTGCAGTACACTTTGCAACAAGTCGCTCTTTGCTGGACCGCCCTCTTGATTCCAGATGAACTTCTGCGGCCGTCAGGAAGCCACTGGAGCGATGCACTTTTAAATTATCTAAACTGATAAACGAGTCTCTTTAGAATTGCTTTTTGTGTTTAGTTTGTACTTTCCCCGCACCTATTAGCACGGTTGGTTACATGCGGTGCGAAATAAGTTCAACATACGTACATGCAATTAGACCCGCAACCTGTCACGTCTGTCGTGTATGGTGATCGCTTATGTAAGTCGCATGCAGATTGAAGGCCCCCGCTTGGCTTCCAAAATATGCCGAGATCTGGCGCATTCCGAGTGATTTGGTCATAGGCTAAGCGAATACAATGTACTGCAATTTTTGAAGGTAAACATGCGTGTCCCTCCATATATAGTGTATCAGTACATCAAAATGTGAGCCTTCGCGACAAATGTTATCTAACTGCTAGATGGCTAGGGAATAGCGGCACAGCAACTTTGTATTGACCTTGTGGGGAGTTTCCAGTACTCTCGATTTCTTCCCACATGAAGCCAGACATTAATAGAAGTGACCAACTTCCAATGTAGAACCCTCGTGAATAAATCTTGGCTCTGTGTTTGTTTTTATTGGTGAATATAGGGCTTTATAGTCAATGTATTTGACCAAGAAAATAGGACCAATTTCAACCTGAGTCGTCTGCAATCGGGCATTTAAATACTGCTGGGCTTGCCTGATGTTATTGGTAAGCTCACGGAAACTGCATGGCCTCTTCAGCACAAATAGGCCTATTCAGCTGTACCGTACAGTATTGTAACAAATAAAAAAAACGTGCATCTGTAGAGGATTGTTGGTTATAAAATAGATATCCACATTACAAAGCATTTAATTATAAAATAGATATCCACATTACAAAGCATTTAATTGTAACGTCATCACAAAACTGTGGAAGTTGATAGAGGCACACGGGAGAAGAATACAACCGCATTGCAACGTACATTTGGACTGTCAGTCAGAAGTAGAAGTCTTAAGCCTGGCCCTGAAGAGGATGATTAAGCCGTCCAGGCGGCCATATGGTGCTTCAAATATTGTGGACAGCAGAAGAGAAAGAGCGAGTTTGACTGGGAGATTTGCAGGAAACCTTATACTTACCACGTTAATCATTAACAAACCAGTCTACCTAACAGTTATGTGCAAGAGTCTTTCGGCATTAACTTGCACTTTTCTTGAACATTTTAAAGTGAAGTCTATAAAAAAACCTATTTTGAAGATATTCCCCAGCAGCACATAGGCGTGTATCTCATTAGTATTCTACCGACTGAATACCCAAACTACATTATTCTTTAGGGCACATACCATTGTGCATTTCAGCTGTTTTCAGATTTTCCTTCACGAGAAATGTCAATACTCTACGCCGTCTCGCAGCATGACATTCTGTTCACCAACGCATTGGAAATACCCAGACTGGTTTGTACAGCTGTGGCTTTATTTAATGCAGGAATTGCCAGATGTTGACACTTTCAATGCAAACATTTTCAGCATCAGTAATTTTATGGTTATCTGCAACAAAAGTGCAGGTTAACTTTGAATGACTGGTAATGGTAAATTTATGGTCTGGAACATCCAGAAATATCTGATGGACAAAACTGGAAAATAACAATCCTAAACGTTTCTCTAAAATATATCTAAATATAGATAGTACATCTAAAATAGATGTTCATTGTGCTAAATATTTCACTTGCTCATTTGTGGTGAGTTGTGGTGTGTTGATTTATCTAAGCACCGATATCACGCCAATTTCTGTACAGTGATAAAGTTAAATGTAGTCCTGCAATTGCTTGATTATGCCTTTGCTGGAGGAAGAGCCTCCACTAGAGGGAGCGCTAGAGAGCCCCTCTGGGGAGGGTATCATGGCCTTCTCTTCCACGCTGGCCAGACATCTTCGAAATGGTGGAGGTATCCACACTTTGCCCTGCCACGTGCGTATTTGGTGATCGACTGACATTGATGTAAAACTGCTGGGTGGGACAGGTGGGCGGGATTTAATAAGCTTGACCATTTCAAATACCATACCAGGAGATCAAACCTGCGACCTCTATGTGAATCATTACACTTTGGCAGTATTGTGATGTTAATATATTGACTGTTTAGTATACCGAGTGGGATTTGGCAGGTGATATCGCTAGAAGCCATCATTGCTGATTAACAAGGATAGTGACAGAATAGCAACCAAAATTATGAGACTGGGCCACAGAGGATGACCATCAAGACAATGGAGTGATGATATCAAGCCTGGAGCGTGCCATTCAGACTGTCTACTTGACGGACCTGTTCTCCACCTGAGGACGGCTGCTTGCGTTGTGGCCGGAACGTCGTGAGAATTATTTTATTATGTTTTATTTTTATTATTTTATTACTTCCCTTCTACGTGACTTTACCGAAAGAACCAAGAAGATGAATCCCTGCAGTCACGAAAGCTTTAAATCGAAATTTTATATTCAAGAGTAATTGTGGCATTGCAGGAACATGAGGTATGGTGACTCCCATTGGAAGGCCTTCATCCAATAGTGTCTGGATAATTGGTAGCGATGATGAAGTTACGGGATATCTGAAAATTGTTTAATATCACCAGCCACTGGACTGCTGTAATGTAGCTATACAGTACAACTCATATCCTTCGGTTTTCAAACACTGATATTATTTTGTACAACATTTGATCGTCCTTATTCATAACATTGTTGACTGAGCTTTGTATAACAGGCCACTGCTGAGAGTCAACGAAAACCAAGTCCAGAGTGTCTGTATAAACATATACTGCTGAATAACATGTCACCAGAAAGCCCACAGGCGAACGGATCTAAATATAGTTTTGTTTTTATGTAGTTTAACAGAGCATTTTCACTTATGTAAACAGTATCATGTATACACAAGAATATGCCATAACGCACAAGGGTTTGTTGTAACATATAAATAATTGTTCCTGAAAGAATCAAGGTGACTCCTCATCTCTAGCTCGGCAATGGGAGCGCTTTAAACAGAGCGTACCGTTCCCACGTGTTAATTTCGACGATCTGTTTAGATTGTAAACTTTTATGGCAACATAATAACGTCTCGTCTAAAAACACATCTTAAACCCGTTTATTCTATGTAGCTCTCCTTCTCACTTTGCCTTCCCTTAACTTTATTCTTACAAGGCGCCTTGCAAATACATGAAAATTATAATTACAAGTGTAAATTATTATTAATAATACAATGGTGGTTAACGACCCCATCATTCCATTCTAAAGCGAATGCAGTTTCATGCTGGTGGAACGGATTAAAATCAAATTTGAATAATACCTGCACGTATTATGTTTAATATATACTATAATCATGATGTTATATAGGAATGCATCTCTGAATGTTAGGATGTTTTTCAGGAAGGTTCTGAATTGGGATATTTTTACGAAGTTAATGTGTAAGTACAGTAATGTTAACATTCTCAAAATATTCTTGGTTCTTTTGGTAAAGTCACGTAGAAGGGAAACAATAAAATAATAAAAATATAAAACAATAAAATTCTCACGACGTTTCGACTGCAACAGAAGCAATCATCATCAGGTGTGAAATCCACAGCAAGAAAATACATTTTCTATTTTCTTGTTTTATATGTTTTATTATTTTATTGTTTCTCTTCTACGTGACTTTACCGAAAGAACCAAGAATATGAATCCCTGCAGTCACGAAAGCTTTAAATCAAAATTCTCAAAATACTCGTTTTCCTGAATAGAGAACATTGGATCTTCTCAAATTGTGTACCTATACATTGACAAACAGTTAAATATACTAAATAGTAGAGTTTTAACTTTCGGAGATTAAATCAAATGTGTGACTAATAATAATTTTTTGGGTAGATCTCGTAAGTAAAAAACGTGTTATAAACCTTGCTCCACCCGGCATAGTCAATTAATAAAGTTGTCATGTGAACAAACGTGCCAGTTTAATACTGCTTAAGCACATCGGTGGGTTGGAGAGAAATCTCACAGAATTTCACAATTTGGTACAACGTATGCATGTATGTATATATATTATACTTATTTTGTACCGTACGCAGCTAAACGTGCTAATCGGTGGTGCATAGAACGTTGCGATGAGAAAATGTCATTGTCCTCCAGTCTTGAATGTAAATAGGTGATAATAGGGTTTTTCCCCTTTTTTCTCGTGACAAAACTGAAACTTTTTGCAAGGAATCATGTTCACATTAACCACAATATTTGCAGTCAAAATGCAAACAAAAACAACTCTGATCATTTAT